CCCAGTGCGGCAGTTTTTGTTCAGCAAGCAGGGGGAGTTCAGAAACTCTGTGTGGGTGGCTCTCGGCTCCTTGGTGAAGAAATTGTAGCTTAACTTGAGCTGAATTCTCTCATGGAAATCGTGAGATGAGGACTGTGCTCTGAACATGTCCTGTCGCCCAAATAGTGCTCAGATGTCGTCTCATTTTGGTGACTTCATTTCTTAATAAAGTCACCATCCCATGTCAAGGCACATGACAGGCAAGGGGACAAAGTCCCTGTTCTCACGGAGCCTACATTTTAGCGCAAAATATACATATTTTAAAAATTAAATTTATTGGGGCAACATTGGTTAATAGCATTCTAAGATATACACATTTTAAAGAGGACAGTTCCATAGAGTAATAAGTAAATATCAGATATACCTAGTAGGTGGATTTAATGAGTAGGACAGGCTTATATTAAGAAGAACATATTCCATCCCAAGTTTCCCCGCATAAAATGGGCCTGAAAACAAAAACAAACAAATGTGAAGGCCCGAGATGCATCTTAGTCCTCACAGAACTGCCCCTGTGAGCTGGGCCGGATTCCCTCAGTCGGCACTTGCCAGGGGTGCGTGTGGGAGGCAACCAATGGATGTGTCTCTCTCACATCAATGTTTCTCTCCCCCTTCCTCCCCCTCTCCCCTCCCCCCCATTCTCTATTTTAAAAAAAAATCAATGGAAAAATATCCTCAGGTGAGGATGAGAGAAAAAAAAAGTTACAAATTCAGTTCCTCATCCTTAGTCCCACTTGGAGCGGAGACTCCGTAGCTGCATCTAGTGGCTTCCATGCTGGGCGGTCAGTCGCAGACACCGGCAGCACCACAGGGCTCATGGGCGGCACTGCTCTCCGGGACCCCAAGTGTTTACTGCAGGATGTTGTTCTAGGCCAGTGATGGCGAACCTTTGGAGCTCGGTGTGTCAGCATTTTGAAAAACCCTAACTTAACTCTGGTGCCGTGTCACATATAGAAATTTTTTAATATTTGCAACCATAGTAAAACAAAGACATATTTTTGATATTTATTTTATGTATTTAAATGCCATTTAACAAAGAAAAATCAACCAAAATAATGAGTTCGCGTGTCACCTCTGACACGCGTGTCATAGGTTCACCATCACTGTTCTAGGCCCACTGCCCCCCCCCCACACACCCCAGAGTCTTCAAATTGCCCCCCTAGAACTTACTGAATTTTGTCACTTTCTTCTGCCTTTCAGGAATGTTGGGCTTGGCACCTGCTCCATGTTCTCCCGCGGCGGTGGGATCATTGCTCCCTTCATCCCCTCTCTGGTTGGTTGTTCCTCCTCGCCTTGTTTTTCTTGATCCTCTGTTTTGGAGATGCCTGTGGGTTTGCGTAGAAAGAGGTCATGGGCCGCTGCCATTTAAGATCAGCCCGACGCACCCGGGACCGTGTGCCTGTGAGAGGCAGGGTCTGCAGAGCGGACAGACTCCTACCTGGGATGCTTTCACCCCCAGCTCTGATTTTCCGCTCATCCGTGCTCTCCGGACCCTCAGCTGAAGCCAGCTTGTCCCTTCTTGTCCCCGTTCACAAGCTAGTCCATTAGGGAACGCTTATGAGGCGTCTGCTGTGTGCAGGCTCCGTGCTCAGCTCCCTCCGTATGTCGCCTCCTGCAGTGACAGCGACACGGAGGCAGGCGGTGTGCGACCCTGATTAGAGGTGAGAATGCAGCAGGAAGAGGTGACATACCTCCCCACGCACACCACTTGGAAAAGAAACTCAGAGGAGAAACACCCTAGCAGTGTGTCTATTAATACTTTTTGCCATTTTTTAAATGTAACAGTCAGAGCAAAGAGTTAGACTTAAATGACAGCCCGAATCCTTCCCGCCATGAAGGGCTCAGGCTCAGCTCGGGGCCCGCGGAGACCGGGCCGTCTCTGCCGGGTCTGACCTAGCACTTCCCCGCCTAGACTCGCGGGGGGACAGGTTTGGGTGGCGCTTGTGGATGTTCTGGGGACAACTGTCCATCACCCACCGCTTCCTCGTCCCGGACGTCTCCGAAATGCACCATAGCTGTTCCTTGTTTTGAGTTTGGATGCACTTCCTTTTTCTGAGTATCTCTCCCCGTGTCTCGTGCTTCATTTGAGGTGACAAGACCCTTCTTTCAAAGGACTCATATGAGTTCCCTCTGTAAAGCGTGCCTGGCATTAGGGTTCCTGGTTAAAGACCCACCTTCGGCTGCTACCCTGGAGCATGGAGACCCAGCTCTGGGTCTCTGTTGGCTCCCGCCAAGCAGAGAAGAGGCGAGAGTGTGTGTTCACTTTGATTGAGCAACAGTCCATGTGCTGGACGTGTGTTTGCCCAGAGGTGGCCAGAGGTCAGAGATCCTGCTGCTCCCCCGTCCTGTCCCCCCCTCTCCCTCCCCCACCCTGCTCCTCCTTTTCCATCATCTCTTCACTTTTGAAAAATCAGCAAAACTAACCGCAGAGGCTGAGAGGCCGTCTGCACCAGCAGCGGTCCTGCCCTCAGGACGTGGAAGCCCAACCCCGAGGCCCTGATGCTGAGCAGCCCCTGGGCAGGAATTCAAGCCCCGGGCAGCCCCGCAAGCACTGTTTCCTCTGTGTTGCTGTCTGGGAGGCTGTGTGCACGTAGAGAAGCCTCGTTTCCAGAGCACGTCTTTTGGATCCGTGGCAAGGCCTCGCATCGCTCCCTGGCCCTCCACCTGTTCAGGGCAGGCAGTTCCCAACCACGTGTGCGTGGGGTGCTCTCGGCTCTCTTTCTTCTCAGGATGTGTGTACCTTTAAGCCTTCAGTTATGGTGCAGAGTGAATCGGTGAGCGTGTAGGGATGGTTTGGCTGATTCCAGGGTTGAGAACGTTCAAGTTCGCCAGCAGCAAATATCGGGGGCGTGTCCTAAGTGAAGAGTGTGTGGAGGTCACTGTGCTGCAAGCTGCGCCCCCGGAACGGAAGCTGAGCCCCAGGTTCCCTGCGAAGTCTGGCCGTGGGGGCTGGCTGCCCCGCCCCCGGGGGGTGCCCCATGCAGAGCACAGCCTGCCCTGACCCCCAGGGCTGTTACTCTCTCACTCCCCTCCGTGCCTGAGGGATCACCATCCCCAGGGCCGTGCTCTCTGGGGAGAGACTGGTTTGTAGTGTATTCCGGTGGGAAGGCATGGGCGGGGCAGTAAGCAGGACGGTCATCTCCAGGGAAACTAATGCTGAGTTTTTGTTTGTTTCATTCCACTCCCTGCCCCACAGAAGTATGTGCAGTGGTCTTTACCTTTCATTGTCTTTGGAGCCACGGGCCTGGCCTCGGGCCTGCTGAGTTTGTTATTGCCCGAAACCCTGAACGCCCCGTTGCTAGAGACCGTTTCCGACCTCCAGGTGTACTCCTACCGGAGTCTGGGGGACGAAGCTCTGTCTTTGCAGACCCTGGACGTCCCACAGGTATGGCCGTGTAGCACGCATTCAGAATCACCACTTAGAGGACAATAGTTTTTTTTAAACATGTATTTTTATTGATTTCAGAGAGGACGGGGAAGGGATAGAGTCAGAAACATCAATGATGAGAGAGAATCATAGATCGGCTGCCTCCTGCACGCTCCCCACTGGGGATTGAGCCCGCCACCCAGGCCTGTGCCCTGACCAGGAATCCAACCGTGACCTCCTGGTTCATAGGTTGACGCTCAACCACTGAGCCACACGGGCTGGGCGATGATGTCATTTTTCTTTGGGCGGGGGAGGGGGAAGTGTGTCTGGTTAGAGGAAACAGATCTGAGCAAAACTCATGGAAAAAAAGGTGGGGTGTCATAGCAACTGCTTTTCAGAGAAATAAAGATGATTGATGGTTCACTAGCTTTCTTAGGACACCTTGGGGCTAATTCCTAGGAGAATAGATGTCACAGAAAGACGTGTCAGTTAGACGCTCGATAGTAATTCTCATTTTGGAAACGTCATGACACCCTTTCACGCCGCTCTCCTCTCCTGTTGCAGTCCGTGGACAAGGGCAGCGCTCCGGGGAGTGAGAGTGAAGAGGAAGAATTTTATGATGCAGACGAAGGGACTCACATGATCAAGTGAGAGGCCCCAGGTTCCTCCTCCGGAGCAGGAGGTCATCTTTCGTGCCTCCGGCGAAGGCAGGTTCTGCCGGGAACTAGAGAGCTGGGCTCCGACACAGGTCGAAGGTGCTCAGCTTTGGGACTGTTTCCAGGCACAGAGCGAGTTGGAGAAGAGAGCTCCTGAGCGAGGCCATCCCTGCATTGAGAAAATAGATGTTACTGTGTCCAGAATCCGGGTTTAGCTCAGAATCACAACCTCTGGCCAGACGCTCAAGTCCACAGCCAGAGCGGCAAACCCACCTGTTTCTAGAAGTGCGATCAGGTTGCTGTTCCTTCATCGGGACCTAAAGGCAGATATGTGAAAAGTTTTTCTCACCGTTTCAGTAACAGAAGATAAACACCCGTAAGGTTTCATTGCTAGGTCCTTAAGATTCATCTTTATATCCCATTTGACCTCTCCCCTCACCGGTCGCTCCTCACCAGGAATCTGTGAGGCACGCTGGTCTGCGCAGAGGAAAACCCAGCCTCTGTGTGGCCCGGGGCCCCCTCCCGAAATCTGCGGCCTCGCTTTGGTTTGCAGCCTCCTGGTCGGCTTGAGCTCCGTGTGTCTTTAGTCCCACAGAGAATCCTCTAGGAAAAGCCAGCTGTACCAACACGTTCTCGGTCAGAGGTTGCCTGCGACTCCCTGTGAGCCCCCTTCAGCGCTCCGATTGTGGAATTTCTTCAGCTCCCACTGTGTGCTCCTCTGGAAAAATTCCATCGCAGATTCTCGTGCCAACAGTGACTTCAAAATCACGCCCAGCGCCTGACGGAGTGTTACCAGGGTGGAGGGCACTTACCAAAAATGACATGCTGAGCACTTGGCTGTTGGAGGTGAGGGGGGAAGGTGCCATTTTTAATAAGGAGGAAGAGAAAATGACCTTCCACAAGTTTTAAATGTGCTTTGTTTTCAGTGTCATGCAGTGAGGGACTTGGGCAACGTTTAAGAACTTGAACCCTTCTAGTCCGAGGCCCGCCCCTCCCCGTGTAGTCAAGTGGAAGGCACAGTAATTTCATAGGAAAACTTGGTTTTTCACTAAGTACTACCAACTTTCAAGAAAATCAAAATCATACTGAGAAGATCTGTTTCCCCATGAAAGTTGACTGTTACCTCACATTGGAATATTCACCCCGAGTCAGTGGGCTTGGGCAGCAGCGCTTTAAGTCACTTTCCCACCCAGGAAAATGTGTGTTTTCGGAATTGCCATTTCTACTGATCTCTTAGAGAAATTGCATTAGAGGAAAAGAGATGACGTCGCCGTGACTGCTTCTGGGAACTGGGAGGCGTCACCCCATCGGCTGCAGCACTCTCCTGTCCTTCCGCATCGGCCTCTTGGTTCGCACTGTATCCGTCTGTCCTCTGTATTTGCTGAAGGGTTTTCATGTTCCTTATGCCCTGACAATGTACTGCGCTCTTCATAAGCAGGGCATCTCAACCGCGTTTTACATCTCCCTGCTACGCCCAGAACGTGGGCCTGGATGCCGTAGGGACTAGTAAGAGGCACTGTTTCACCTTCAGGGAGTTACGGAACTCCTCCCAGCGTTGTAAAGCCCGGGCAGATGCCACCCAAACCCCCAGACTGGGGAGTCCTGCTTGTGTTTCTCTGGAAGCAAAGACCCTGTCCACCACCTGAGAGGAAGAACTTGCAAGGACATTTAGAAGCTCTTCTCCGATGGTCGGGGCATTCAAAATAAAAAATAAACTAAGACACTTGTGGTTTGGGGTTGTTTGAGCTCTTTCTTTGTATTGTAAGAGTAATGCATCCCATTATAGAAAAGTTGGAAACCAGAATTTAAAGAATGTCTTACTCATCGGCTCAATACCCAGCCAGTGTTGACTTGGTTCTAGTTGAAGACCAGTTAGGACTCTGTCCCTGGGTTGGCACTGAGGTTCCCCCTGCCCCTGGCTGAATAGAAAAGAGCTAGCAAGTCAATTATTGATGTGGTAACGATTGGGTTTCTATATCAAATAATATAAAATTAGGTTCTCACCATAATAAAAATAAATGCCAAATGAGTTGAAGGCCTAAATTAAAAGAATGCAAAACTTTAAAACTATTTTAAAGAGATATCAGAGAATAACAGACCTTGAGGGACAGATGGATTTCTCAGGCAACAAGGAAAAAAATCAGCCCCAGCCAGTTTGGCTCCGTGGAAAGAGCATCAACCTGTGGACTGAAGAGTCCTGGGTTCGATTCCTGTCAAGGGCATGTACCTCGCTTGCAGGCTGCATCCCTGGCCCTGGTCAGGGCATGTGAAAAATCAATCAATGTATCTCGCTCACATTGATGTTTCTCTTTCTCTCCCTCCCCCCTTCCACTCTCTCTAAAAATCTCTCTCTCTCTCTTTCCCTCCCCCTCCCTCCCCCCTTCCACTCTCTCTAAAAATCAATGGAAAATATTCTCAGATGAGGATTAGTAAATAAATATATATATATATTTTAAAAAGAAACAAAAAAATCACAAATTATTTTTAAAAAAGAAAAGATTGATAGATTGACGACATCTAACTTTAAATTTTCTATCTATATGACTAACCACACCTCAAAGTTAACAGAAAAGCAATAGATTTGGGGAAAGTATTTGCAACTTCTTTAAGAGACAAGGATTAATATCCAGAATATATTAAAAATTAGTGAAATCAGAAAGAAAAGCTCAGAAAAAAATCCTGTTAGGCAATTCCTCAGCCTCCCTGGAGAATCAGAGAAATGCAAGTTGAAACAAAAATATTTAAAATCCATAAGATTCGGGGGGGGGGGGGACGGACCATAAAATCAAAACGTGAAGATATAGAGAAAAGAATGTACTTATATCCTGATGGAAGCATAAATGTATTCAACAAAGTACCAATAGCAGTCAGTTGAAAATGTGCATATTCTATGATATAGAAATTCTGCTCTATGTCCATGTTGTGGATCTGTTTTCAGATATTTTGATTGTAACCCATCATAAGAAAAATGTTTTACACTATGACACGTACAATACACAAACCTACATACATGTCCGACTGTGTGTGTGTGTGTGTGTGTGTATATATCTCTAAAATTTTATAGAATAATACTTAGCTTGTATTCTGTATTGTCTTTTCTCTGCTATTTTACTTTAAAATGAGAAGAATTCTGGTGAAAACACACAAGTGATTACACAATTCACAAGCAGATCAGAACATGCAGGTGGAAAAAATGAAACATCATACCGTCAGTATTTTCCTTATTACTTACCTAGTGCACATGTGCAAGGCGGTGTGTACAAAGATGTCCACTGTAGTTGCAGTGAAAAGTGACATTAAATACCTTCCCTAAGCAAATGTATAGATACTATTTTATTTTTATTTATTTATTTATTTATTTATTTATTTTTAATATATTTTATTGATTTTTAACAGAGAGGAAGGGAGAGGGATAGAGAGTTAGAAACATTGATGAGTGAGAAACACCGACCAGCTGCCTCCTGCACACCTCCTACTGGGGATGTGCCCGCAACTAAGGTACATGCCCTTGACCGGAATCGAACCTGGGACCTTTCAGTCCGCAGACCGACGCTCTATCCACCAAGCCAAACTGGTTTTGGCTAGATACTATTTTATATTCAAAGAATGGAATGAGTAACATAGGAGTTCTGTGTATTGAGGTGGATGGATCCCAACCACATTGACCCAAATGCGGCAAATTTTTGCTAGATCAAGGTCATTTCAAGGTTAAATTATTTAGTGAATGACTGGAGTCCTTGCTCATTAAAGAGATTCAAATGCTTTTTATGTCATATTTCACAATCAAGACTGTTGATATTGTCTTGTAGAAATATAGAAGTCTCACAGGTATTCCCACCCTGAAGAGGAGTTATTCCTCTTCCCTGTGGGCCTGAATTTCTTTGGAACAAGAAATTAACATTATGGAAACATTTAGAAAACTTTTCAGCTGAGACCCTAGAGCTCTGTAGGATAAAGCTTAGGAGACATTACTTATCTATTGAAAAATGTCAAGGGCAGACGAAGCCAAATAGTTTTACAGTAACTTCAGTCTAGGCCCCGCAGAACAATTGATTTCAAATAGAATAGATTCCAGTGTAATCGCTTCGCTTCAAAAATTGCGAACTTCAAGAAGTTGAATGAAATGCATGTGTAAGATGGCAAAAAAAAATGTACACCCAACTTGGAGGGAAGTTTAATAAACGAATGCCAATATGGGGACGGAGCTCCCAGAAACCACCAATGAGGCAGTATGCAGAGGAAGCCCATTGCTGTAGTACAGAGGGCAGCCTCCTGGGCACAGCACAGGGCTAGGAGTGCATCCAGGGAGGTAAACAGGAAACATTCAGCACGGGAGGCACTTGAAAGTAGGTGAACATCCATCATGTCAGACAGGGGTTGGTTGGTTTTTAGCCAAATTCAGTTTATCCTGTTAATTTAAAAAAGACAATATTAGAACATCAGTTGATGTTATACATTAGAATAACAGACTTTTAAATTTAATTTTTAAATGTACTGGGGTGACATTGGTGATATTAGGGTTTTTTAATCCTTGAAGCTCAGCTATTCTTGCTGGTGATAATACAACAGGTTCCTTGGCTTCCTAGAGCCACTTTAATTATTGTGAATGCATTTCCCCACAGATAGGAATGCGCTCTCCTATTTGCTGTTGCAGGTGGCACGCCTCCATTTAATCGTGTAGCAGGATCAAGCGGTACGTGTCTGAATGTGAAAGAAGAGGGTGCAGAACACGTGGCCCGCTGCCCACAGCTGGAGTGTGATCTGACCAGCAGCTTTCCTTCTCCACGCTAGTCCTTTTTTTATTTTTCTGACAATTTTATTAAATGTATTAGGGTAACATTGGTTAATGAATAAGATTATATAGATTTCAAGGGTATACTCCTGTCATACGTCATCTGTAGATTGTATTGTGTGTTCATCACCCAAAGTCAAGTCACCATATAGTTGACCCCCTTTTCCGCCCTCCACCCCCCTTTCCCTCTGGTCACTACCATACTGTTGTCTGTGTCTGTGAGTTTTTTGTTTGTCTTGTTTGTTCGTTTGTTGCTTTCTGTTTTATATCCCACATAGGAGTAAAAACACATGGCTCTCAACTTTTTCCATCGGACTTATTTTCTTAGCATGAGATTCTCAAGGTCCGTGGTACTGAAGAAATACTAACAACATCTCACTGATGATCCTTTCTTGAGGAAACAGATGGACTGTCATCAGCAAATACGTTAAAATCTCACATCTATTTGCTTAATAATACAAAACAGAAAAACAATGACCTGCAATGAAGTATGCCTATCATATGCTTGCTTCTAGCGCAACATAGTTAGATTGGAAAACTTAATTCTAAAGTTTATAGAGAAGAACAGTAGAGAGCAGTTCATTTTGAGTAATATTCTTCCCATTTCTTATGGTGATTAATTTTTCCATTATAGTTTCCTCTGATTGGATACTATAACCGAGGGAGAAGAGGAGGATGAAGATCATCCGCTTTTACAGGAAGAAGGGTGGCCGAAAACTGAGGTTAGGAAGCGACAATCACACTGACTTTTCCATAAAGACTCCCAAGGACCTTCTTAGTAATTGAGGGTTGTATTAGTTTCCTACTGATGCTGTAACAAATGACCACACACCTAGTGGCTTCAGACCACACAAACTAATTCTGTAATAGTTGCAGAGGTCAGACGACAAATGAATCTTACGGGGGTAGAACAATTATGTCAGCAGAGCTGGTTTCTTCTGATCCTCCAGAGGGAAATCCATTCCTTGTCTCTTGCAGCTCCTGGAGGCTACAGCATTGCTTGGTCCTGGCCTCATCCCTCCAGTCTCTGCTTCTGTGGTCGCTTAGCCTTCTACTCACTCTGGTTTCCTGCCTCCCCCTGTAAGGAAGGGCCCACCGAGATAACTCAGGCCTCTCTCTCCACTTGAAGATCTGTACCTTTTGCCATAAAAGGTAACATTCAAGGGTTATGGGGAGTAGAATGGAGATCTCTTTGGGGGCCATTATTTAGCCTATCCCAGGTGTCTTTTTTGAAAATTAAAGTTTTTGGGGTGACATACAGGTTTCAGGTGTGGATTTCTATGTTACAAGATCTGTGTATTGCACTGTGTGCCCACCATCCAAAGTCAGATCATCCTCCATCACCATATACTGGGCCCCTTCCACCCCCGCCCCACCCACCCCCTTCCCTCTGGCCACCACCACCCTGCTGTTTGATATCACAGGTGTGTTATGTGTATCAGCAAGAGATCCTAACTAGATGGAACCTGTTGGAGTCTTCAGTGTATAATTTTAAGTTTTATAAAATAACCTAGTCATCGTCAGGAGAAGCCAGACCCAGACCATGGGTGACAGCCTCAAATCTGCATCTATTAGTATTATTGATCTTATTGATTCCCACTTACTGTTTGAAAGGATGATTTTTAACCCCACTAAGCCTTCATTTCTGAGTTTTATTTTTGCTGCACCTTAACAATTTGCAGCAGTTTTTTTAAAAATGAAAATCAGTGCTGTTCTTACCTCTGCCTTTGCTGTGCGCTCTTAAGCATCCTCAGGTTTCCATTATAGCGCTTATTGTGATTTAATACATCACGATGCCTCCCCTGGTAGGTCATAAGCTCTGTGAAAACTGGGTACATGTCTTCTTTCGTTCCTACTGCCTGGACCCAGTGTGTCCTAGGCATTCAAATGTTTCTGAAAGAACGCATAAATCTTTCACCATTTTTCCATATGAGCGCTATTGCTACCTCACATTGAAAAGCAAACAAAGGCTGTATCCTTTTCATCTTAGTAACTCTAAGAACTAGCACAATATCTAGAACACTGTAGGCATTTATTAACTTTTTAAATGAATGCATGCCCAGGCACAAGGCAGTCAGGATTGACTTAACTGGCCGATCAGGTAATGTACTCAAAAGGGACACTTCCCCAAAGTCTGTCTGAGAGGGAGGCCTATGGATTACTTAGCTTCAGGAAAGCCCCTTATAGATAACCAGAAAAACCTTCATTCCAACGCACCCTTCTTATTCCTTAATCTCACCATTCTGTGCAAAGTTAGAGTTAAGATTAGAATATATTTAAGAGAGAAAGGATCTCTTTTAGCAGGGTCTCAGGTTTCTACCTTGAAAATGGAAGTAAGCAAAGAAGAATTGATTATTAAATAAAGTATCCATGTACTTCTAGACATTACTAAAGTACCATTCACCCTACTGGTTGTAGAATAAATGAATTTGATGATTTTTTAAACGGAGACCTCTCCCTGCATGCACTGAGAGGCAGTCTACCCTATGAAGGTGTTCTTGAGAGGAAATTTTGGCATAACTATCAATGTTATAACATTCAATTCTCTTAAAATAATTCATCAGGGAAGCAACACGTAAAAAGTTTGGAAATACTGTCCATTTGATTCCAGGCACGTAAGGGATCAGCACATTAAAAAAAAAAAAAATCAGCCCTAGCTGGTTGGGCTCAGTGGATAGAGCGTCGGCCTGCAGACTGAAGGGTCCAGGTTTGATTCCAGTCAAGGGCATGTACCTCGGTTGCAGGCTCAATCCCTGTCCCTAGTTGGGGCGTGTGTGGGAGGCAACCTATCAATGTCTTTCTCACATCGATGTTTCTCTTTTTCTGTCTCACCCCTCCCTTCTACTCTCTACATATCAATGAAAAAATATCCTTGGGTGAGGACTAACAAAAAAGAAGAAAAAATCATTAGGTATTGGATCAGTGTCTCGATTTTTCTGTTTGCTCGGTAGCTGAAAAACCGACTCTCCTATGTTGACTAAAATGTAGGTCACCTTTGATTTATCAGAGAAATGCTTTGTCGGAGGAATGACTGAAAGTGACGCCTACGGGGAAAGTTGGACAGTTGGGGTAGTTGAATTTATTTCTCCCTCCTGACACATCTCAGAAGAAGCCCTTTATTTACTGAGTAGGTTCCCAAACATCTTCAAGCGGAAACATGACAAAGCAGCATGTTCTCTCAGTGAAGGAATTTATGACCTTCCCAACCCGGTCCGCCAGGGGAGGGGATAAGGCTGGGAAAGGGTCCAGCTGACCAGGAACAGTGACTGTGTCACAGGTGAAGACCTGGGGCAGTAGCAGAGAATTCGGGGGCGGAGAGGGGCGGGGATTATTTGTGAAAGAGCAAAGTCCATGCTGTTTTTCTCTTGTGCAACTAAGTATTTGAGTTAAGGAATAGAATCATTAGCAAGTTTAGCTGCCAAAGGTGTCACAGAGTGACATCCCAGGGGAAATGGAGTGGCCACCTCGGCTTGGTCCGACTGTCACTTTCCTTTCAGGCATTTCAAACCACCCCAAGGAGCGTCAGGTTTATTGTAGGGAGATGTGCACAAAACATCAAAAGATTTCCTTAAGGGTTTCTCATAGTCAAGAGATAGTTTCAGGGGGGGAAAGATCACCTTTATTTATTCATCAAATATTTTGAGTGCCTGCTATTGCTGCGTCCTACTCGAGGTGCTGGGTTAAAGGAGAGAACGTGTACTGAGCATTGTTCTAAGGTCCTCAAACTTTTTAAACAGGGGGCCAGTTCACTGTCCCTCAGACCGTTGGAGGGCCGGACTATAGTTTTAAAAAAAACTATGAACAAATTCCTATGCACACTGCACATATCTTATTTTGAAGTAAAAAAACAAAACGGGAACAAATACAATATTTGTATTTGCATGTGGCCCCCGCGGGCCGTAGTTTGAGGACCCCTGTAAGCAGTTTATACTCCTTGGCATATCCAATCCTCAGAAGAAAACTAAAATGTTTTTCTGTCGGTTCCATTTTATGGGTGAGAAAACTGAGGCCCGAATTAAGTAACTTGCCCAAGTCAGGTAACTAATCACTGGCAAAGCCTCGATTGTCTGACTTCAGATGTCACTTCTTAAGTGACTGTGCTGTACTGCTCTCATTCTTGAAGGATTCTCGCATTTCAGCCAGGCCTGCTTTTTCTATGGGTTGTTTTGATGATAATGATGTTGATGGCGATGGAACTGCCATGCGTTGAGTGTCATGCACCGTGTTGCCATGTTAAATACATTCATTCTATGGTTATGTCAGACAGTTCTCACAAGTCTATTGGATTAATAATCTCTACTCCTTTGATGAAAACAGTGAAGCTCTCGCGCATTAAACTAGTGAGTGGTGATGCGAGGCCTACATCCCATCTTGTCCTGTGCCACGGCCCAGGCACCTCCTTCTCCCTCTGACCTGCCTCCTGTGAAGGAGGGTTTGTTCCAGAGAAGAGGGGACACTGGTGGAACCCTGGTGCAGCCAAGCTCAGCTGTTTGAATGAGGCTCCCCCTGGGGACAGAGCGTTGTAAGGAGGATTGTAAAGCAAGGATCCTCTGTTTTACAACCACTGAGGGTTTTTTTCTTCACAATTAAGTCAATCGAAATTTAATTTTTGTCAGTAACTAATATGGGTGGAGAAGCTTGTCAAAACTCCTCGTTTGGGGGCGAAATCCAGTTGTACAATCTCATAGAGAAGATGGGAACAAAATCTCTGGGTGCCCCCCTTTTTTTTAGTATGTTTTTATTGATTTTAAAGTAAGAGGAAGGGGAGAGGAATAGAGAGATAGAAACATTAATGAGAAACTTCATCAGTCAGCTACCTCCTGCACACCCCCTGCTGGGGGTCGAGCTGGCAACCTGGGCATGTGCCCTGACTGGGAATTGAAACCCACGACCTCTTGGTTTCTGGGTTAACGTTCAACCACTGAGCCACACCGGCTGGGCAGATTAGCCGAATTTTTTTAAGCCCAGAGCAACTGCCACCAAGTCTCCCGTGCGTACACGTGCACCCCCCCCCACACACACACCTCATTAAACTTCTTTATTTGATGCTTAATAACTTTTAGCTCTGGAGTAGTTTAGAAGACATTTTAAACATCCTCTGAAGTCTTCACAATATCTCATCAATATAGTTTTAGAATCAGGGAGACTTATTTCTCATTCTCATTTTTCTCTTTAACATGAAATGTTAACCTCATTTTTATTATAAGTCTAAGTCTGTTGTGCTGATTTCCAAGTAATATATATGTAAAAGTCCAGCTGCCATGGGGGACAGCTTCAGGAAGTCGTACCAATTAGGAACTACCGAAGATTTTAGGACAAGGATTTAATCCACCCATTAAAAAAAAATTTTTTTAAGTGAATTCTCATGGTGCCATGTTTTTCCAAAACTGAAATGGATATGACATGTTTCAAGAAAACATATTTTCACCTGATCCACGTCATTTGCTAACTAATGAGGAAGTAACTGGAGAAATATGACTTTCATGAGGCCACTTTCCTCCTCTTCATTGTCCTTGAAGATTTGCCATTTCTCACGGAAAAATGCCTGAGAGCTGACTTCCCCTTCCCCTCCCCCTTTTCTGAGGTCCTGGGGTGGGGGAGGGGGCAGGAGCCTCTGGTGGGAGGAGTGGCAGGATTATACAAAAGCTCTTCCTCTAAGCCTGGGCAGCAGTTTTCTCTCCTTGGAACCAGAGTGGAGTGGTAAGTACAGGCCCGAGAGAGGGGGGGGCGGGGGGTGTGTGTGTGCGAGTTTCCATGGGGAGCTCTGCAGGGAAGTGGGGAGAGGGAGCTAGGAGCCTTCTGCACCGTTCCCTGGGCCTTGGGGAGAGAAGGTGGTTCCCGAGGCTTCTTTCTGGCTGCAGTTGTGAAAGAGGGACCCAACCAGAGTGTTTTCTGTGTTTCAGTCATGGAATCAAAGGGAGCCTTAGGTGAGTGAGCAGGGAGCAAACTCAGTCACACGGCATATGCACCACCCTGATGTTGGTGATGGCTCATTGCTCTGAGCGCACAGACGTGTTACCAGACTCACTGATATGTAGTTGGTCACCTGGGTTCTATCCTTGGCCCTTGGCCTTTTTTACTTGCTCCCTGCGCAATCCAACATCCTCTGCTCTGACTATGGAGTGGTATTATTTGTACATTTTTTTTTCTGATTATGAAAATAGAAGTATGTTAATTGTAAAAAAAAAAAAAAGTCAGACAATAAAAAAAAGGTAACATGGAAAATAAGCATTAGATGTAATCCCACCACCCAGAGAAAACCATTCCTAAGCTTTTCTCCATGTGTGGGTAGTGTTTTAGTCTTCCATCATATGGATGTATCATTAGCCAGCGTCCAATTGTTAACTATTTACTTTAGGTCCAATTGTTCCTATTGTAAAGGAGGCATATAGAGTTGGCATACCTCACGTTTCCTTTCAATAAATTTTAAAATTTTTGATGAGCCTTGCCCTGCCAGTTTACTCGGCCATTGTTAATATACAAGGGCCAGATTCCCTTATAAGCACCAATACCTTTTTCTGACTTTTGCCAGATTATCACATTGGTGTGTATCCAGGGTTAGGGCTTAATCTGTATGTTTCTGGTGTAACTAGAGATATAAGAGTTTTTATGCTTATTAACTCTGTGTATTCCTGCTTTTGTGCATGGATTGCCTGCTTGGGTTCTCTACTTATTCTATATTATGAAATCACGTTTTCTAATTTTGAAGTTTTGAATTTTTATTTAAAGTTTGTAGGACCTTCAGCCTATGTTCCTCATACACACAAGTGTAGGTAAATGTTCCTCTCCCTTTTCTTCTGGTTGCTTTATGATTTGTTTTTATATTAACTCCTTAATTTACTTGTACTTGGAATTCGTGTCAGTGTTTGGAGGGAACCGGGACCTGGCTTTCTTGTTTTCTGAACAGCTGAGCACTTCCTTTCTTCCATTTGCTCAGTCGTTCACCTTGGCCCACTGATTCAAGTTCTGTTTTGAATTCATTTTCAATTCTTGTTCTATTTCTCACACTCCTTTAACTCAGCCTGATCCCTCTTTGTTGACCTTTTATTGAATCAATCCCTGTTTTCTTGAATTTTATCGACACCATGCAAACAGAAACTACCTGTCTTCTTTGTTATAGTAAATCCGTTCATAAATATCCCCAGGTCCTGGGGATTCTTTTCCTCCAGGTTTCTAAGTTATGTAATATTTTCATGATTCCATGTTAGTAATTCACGGATCTGTAACAAAAGGACAAATACAATTCTGACTTTTGCCAGCAAATTTGAGGAGTTCTAATTGGAGCCCCTAAAATGAGAATTTTACTCCTGGGATTTGAACTTTGGGAGATGGTTGGTAAAAGTTTGCCTAACTGGTTTAACATTCCAGGACCCGAAAAGCAGGGGGACAAGGCTGGGGCTGCCGGCCACTCCAGCGGGGAACTTGGTCTTGTCCGGGCTGGCAAAACCTCTACAAGGTCTGCTTTGCTGAGTTTAACTGTCTATTTGACTTGGTATAGAGTTTCCTCAAAAAATTAAAAATGGAATTCCCATTTGACCCAGTAATCCCACTTCTAGGAACATGTCCCAAGAAATCAGAAACACCAATCAGAAAAAGGATGTATGTTGATTTGACTCCAGGCCAGATGGTCCTTGTGACTGTATGTGGGTTCTTCCTGGTCCGAGCTCCCAGGTCTGTCTGGCCTGATCACTGGCTTCCTCTCCAGAGGCTCCCAGTGCAGCAGCTGATGGCAGTGGTGCCGCATGGGGACCTGGGAAGCGGAAACAGCTCTTGTCTGCATCTTTCCACATTGGGGACCCTTAATGGGTTTGGAAGAACCCCGGTCTATCTAGTATGTATAATACTTAGGGAGTTGGCGCTCAGGGTCTTCTGATTTGTATTGACCTGCAGTTGGTGACATATTCCTGGTATCACCCTTTAGTTTCCATGTGAATTTGAAGAACCACATATTTTTTTATTTGTCATTTTGTTGCTTGGGGTTAAGAGGGGATGCCCGGTCTTATTTTGCCATTTGATTGGAAGTCTGCCGTTGTCCAGTGGTCCTCTAACTGAACATTTCTCGTCAGCTGCTATCTTTCTGCCATCAGAGAAATACATTATTTTTTTCTTCACTCATCCATTTATTCATTCTTTCATTCAACATTTGTTGAGTGATTCTCTAAGCACTTGGGGTAAGGTGAACAAAATAGACCAAAATTTCTGCTGTGCAGTAGCTTAGGTTTTATCCGATATTAAGGCAACCAATTCCAACATTATTTTCTTTTCAGCACTTACCACTCACTGAAAATGTCTTGTTTATTGACTAGTTAACTTGCTTATTTATTTTCTCCTCCCTCTCCAAAAATGAACTGGAAACCTTTTTTACCGTCTTATTGTATCCTTAGGGCTTCAGAATACTTGGCACAGGAGGCTTTTAATGTTTATTTGCTGGGAAGTGAATAAGATATTGTGGAATTAAATTTCAGGAAGAAAAAACATATGTAATGATAGACCTTCCAGAACAATGTTGAATAGAAGCGGTAGGAGTGAACATGGTGTCTTGTTCCTAATCTTAGGGACAGAGCGTTCAGTCTTGCACCATCAAGGATGATGTTAGCTGTGGGTGTTTTATAGAGGGCCTTATTAAACTATTTGTAATTTGTTGATCATTTTTTATCATGGAAATGTGTTGGACTTTTTGTCAAATACTTTTTTTTTACACCCGCTGAGATTATGTGGCTTTGCTTTTTATACTACTAATAAGGTGTGTTACATTGTTTGATTTTCATGTGTTGAAACCACCTTGTTGGGATAAATCTGATTTGGTCATGTGTATGGTCCTTATATGTTGCTGGACTTTGTTTGCTAGTATTTTGAAGACTTTTGAATCTATATTCATAGGGATAGTAATCTATAGTTTTCTTTGCTTGAGATATCTTTGCCTAGTTTTAGTATTAGGTTAATACTGAGCTCATAAAATAAGCTGGAAAGTGTTTCTTTTTCTTCTTTTTTGGGGGAAGAGTTTGTGAGTGACTGAGGTTCTTTTTTAATTGTTTTATAAAATTCACCTGTGAAGCCACCTGACCCTGAGCTCTTTTTTTTTTAATTTTTTTCTGGAAAGTTTTTTTAAAATATATTTTTATTGACTTCAGAGAGGAAGGGAGAGGGAGAGAGAGATAGAAACATCAGCGATGAGAGAGAACCACTGATAGGCTGCCTCCTGCACGCCCCCTACTGGGGATTGAGCCCACACCCAGGCATGTGCCCTGACCAGGAATCGAACCATGACCTCCTGATTCATAGGCTGACGCTCAACCATTGAGCCACACCAGCCAGGCTGGAAAGTTACTTCTTGGTTGCTAGTGTTCTGGCTGCTTGTGACTAGTTGTCATGGTGATGGAGAGAATGAAATGGGAGGTGGCTGTGATAGGCATTGCACTGTGGACTTAACCTACATATCCTTTGTTAATAGGACTTTGTCGTAGCCTTCCTCTGACCTGGGCTTGAAATATCCGGTTTCATTCATGATGCTAGAGTGCAAATGAAGACAGTAAAAGTATCCTACCATCCTGCAAATCAGACTTGTTTCTGTCCTCACTCCATTATTCCATGACCCCATGGAGTTTTAGATCCTGAGGCAAAGACTTGGTAGCAAGAAAAAGGTAAGCGTTTATATAATAAGTTGAGAACTAAAGCCAAATGTTAAAGAGTTGTCACAATTGGTACCCGTCACTTGGCACTTTGTTCCACCAGGTGGTTATGTTTTGTTTTTTGTTTTTTCTTATGAAGTGTTTAATACTAAAAAGACTCATTGATGTTTAAATATCAAGCTTCATTTATGTCTTTTCTATTTGTTCTTATTGTTATTGTTTTGTCTGGCTGTTTTGACCTTGATCACTTTTATTGGAGCTCCTGCCCACGAGGTCAAATTGTATTTTCTCAACCTTGATTGTAGAACACAAACTGCCATAAACCTGTGGGAGAAAGCCACGTGTTCCTTGGCAGTTGGTTTCCTGAATCATGTTTCAAGAACAAATATTGTGGCTCCGGAGTAGTGAGACTGAGAGGTGGGGCCGAGCGTCCCGGGGCCCCTCCCGCGTGCCTTTGCGAGGGTTTCCCTTTCTCCGGGGAAGGCCAGGGGTTGTCCCAGGCAGGCTTCCTGGGCTTCCTTGGTTTCCTGGGGTCCTGAGGGAACGCTCAGAAGACCTTCCTGTAGTCGATCCCTAAGCCAAGAACTCTCGTTCCCAAGACTGCCATGGGGGGGGGGAGGGGGGGCTCACGTGAAGAGCTCCGGGGAGGCCTCCTGGAGAAAAACAGTGAAGGGGGGACCGGGATGCCGGTATCAGGGAGCTTTCTATGGTTCTAGCATTGAAACTCTCGAGTAAAAGAGCATGAGAAAAGCTGGCCCAACTTCTGGGGCAGGTGGGAAGAGAAGCAGAAATGTGGCCCAGAAAAGCAGGAAAACCAGCCTTCAGAAGAGGCCCTGAGAGCATTGCCCCTTCCTGGGGCAGTTGGTTGACTGGTAGGAGGGAATGCAACAGAGGGTGGTGCCCCTGAGCTGTCTGTCTGTCTAGATGCCTCTCCGTCCAGCCCTGGGAAGCAACGGTGAGTTTCTCAACAGAAGTGTCTTAGTTGGCTGGGGCGGCCATGACTAAATACCACGCACTGGGTGGCTTAAACAACGACAGTTATCTTTGCACAGTTCTGGAGGTTAGACGTTCAAGGTCAAGGTGTCATCAAGCTTGGTGTCTCCTTGGCTGGCAGGTGGCCCCTTTTCTCGCTGTGCCCTCACGTGGCCTTTCCTCTGTGCCGTACAAGCGTGGTGTCTCTTCCTCTTCTTACAAGGATACCGGTTAGATGGGATTAGGACTCAAATGGCATTCTTTTCACTTCATCGCCTCTTTCAAGATCCTGGCTCCAAACACAGTCACACGCTGAAGTACTAGGGTTTAGGAATTTAACAGATGAATCGGGGTGGTGGTGGGTGGCATAATTTAGTTTATAACAAGAGAGGCCAATAAACTCCTCCACTGAGGGACGGAGGAGCAGGAAGGCCCCATAAAACGACCTGCAATTAACCCGGGACCGTGTAAGGATAGTCAAAAAGATCTGAAGGGTGGTCAAAAGAACGGAAACGTTTGGGACAATTGAGACCTTGATCCCAGTTTATCTTTCTCCCGGAGCAGCAGGAGAAGGTGACAGCAGCCGTGGGAATGAAACCGCTAATGCTCCTGGGGAAACCCAGGGTTATCTGTCAACACACCAAGTCAGCCGGGACCTACTGAGCACTGAGAGGCGCAAGACACACTCCCAGACATTAGCGAGCAGAGTCTCATCCAGGCGCAAGTTAGGAACATGTGGGAAGTTCCTAAGCACAGAGAAACGACCCAAGAAGTTGCCAAGGAGTCTTGGAGGCCTCCATGCGTCCAGCAGTGGGCCTGGAACTGGGAATTCGTCGGAGAGCCAAGAAGACCTGACCCCTGACCTCTGGCGGCTCCTACACTAGAGGGGTGGACAGATCTTGGTCTAAGAGCCACACAAAGCATTTCAAACTATGATAAGTGCTCTAAACACAAAGGACAGTGGGACAGGATCGAGTGCGACAGAGAACAAACCCACCTCAAAGGAATTCTCAGCAACTGACATGTAAGTGGAGACCTGAAAGATAAGAAAAGGTTAACCAGGCCACGAATCAAAAGGACATTGGTGCAGCAGCTATTACTTTGTGTGCCTAAGCCACTACAGGCCTGTTGACATAGCTTAAAAATAGATCATGCCATTTTTTTTCTGATTATGTAAATGAGTCATACTTATGAAAAATGTTTTTTACACAGGAAAGTATTAAAAAAATTACCAGTGGGGGGTAAGAGATTAACCAAAGGACTTGTATGCATGCATATAAGCGTAACCAATGGACACAGACAGTAGGGGTGACGCCCTGTGCTCGGGGGTGGGAGTGGGCGGGGAGAGGTCAATGGGGGAAAAAGAAGACATATGTAATACTTTCAACAATAAAGAATTTAAATAAACAAAAAGAAAATAAAAACCTACCAGAAGTCTTACTTCCTTGAGGTAACTACTTTGAGAATATATGCTGTTTTATATGGTGAACAGTAGCTTGAAGTCTTTTTGTTTTTTAGTTTCTTCCCATTTTCCCTCTGCCTAGTTCCTCTCTGTCCCCCACTCATGATGCATTTGTACCCTGTTTCTTTTTTTAATTTTGTAAAATATATATTTTATTGATTTCAGAGAGGAAGGGAGAGGGAGCGAGAGATAGAAACATCAGTAATGAGAAAGAATCATTGATTGGCTGCCTCCTGCACGCCCCACACTTGGGATTGAACCATGACCTCCTGGTTCATAGGTCAACGCTCAACCACTGAGCCACGCCGGTTGGGCTCCCAGTATACTTTCAAATATTTCTGTTAAATGCTTGCCCTTGAAGTTGTGTAGCTACCTTGAAAATATAGATGTATACTGCGAAATGATTTATGAATGTTCTCTTACTGCCGCTGACCTACATATATTTTCGTTTCTTTTTCTGCTTGTATCTTTCCTGTCTCAGCATGATACATCTTAATAAAGGAAACTAACACAGATATATTACTTCACAGTTGGGCTAATAATAATTTCCAGCTTTCAAATGTTTATGTTATAAGACTGACTCTCTTCTTATTATGCAGAATCATGTTGGCAAAACTAGTTAACTAGAGCCCCACTTGCTGGGGTATTATCAGAGCCCAGCTGACCTGGGGGAAGGGGAATACCCAACTCTCATACGGTCTAGCCTTCTGAGGGGGAGAGGACAGCAGCCAGCTGCAGCCCCTCCGGCCACGCCGTCCCACCTCAGGAGGGAGGGAAAGGAAAACCGAGCATCACTAGTGAGGTTCACAGACCAGAAACGCACTAAAAGACTGAGACCTCATCAGGGGACTAGAGAACACTTCCCCTCCTCTACAGCTCACCCCGCATCACCACAGGCCTGTTTACAGCAATCCTTGCACCCGTGCATCATGTCCAACTATTGGAGAAAACTGCAAGGCATATGACAGGCAGTAAACCACAATTCGTATCACAGTTCGTATCAGACGTGGCAGGATGTTGGGGTTATCAGATACAGAATTTGAAACCACGATACGATTAAATGCGAAGAGCCCTAGTGGGTGAAGTAGACACGTGCAAGAACAGATGGGTAACACAAGCAGGGAGATGGAAGTCCTAAGAGAGATCCAAACCAAAATGCTGGAGGTAGAAGGAGACATGAGGAATGCCTGGGCTCCTTCGGAGACTGGCTGAGAAAAGAATCTCTGGGCCAGGGGCCATCTCCGCAGACACCTCCAGAACTCAAAAGCAAAGAGAACCAAGATCGTAAAACACAGAACAAAATATCTAAGGACTATGGGACAACTACAAAAGGTGTCACACATGTAATGAGAAGACCAGAAGGAGATAAAACAGAGAAAGAAACAGAAGAGGTGTTTGCAACAGTAATGACTGAGAGTTTCCTCGAAATGCGCGATTCCCCCCTTATCCGCGGTTTCACTCTCCGAGTTTCCGTTACCTGCGGTCAACCTCTGTCTGAAAATATTACATGGAAACTTCCAGAGATGGATAATGGATAAGTTTTAAGTTGAGCGCTGTTCTGAGGAGCGTGATGAAATCTGGCGCCATCCCGCGCTGTGCTGCCTGGGAAAGCCATTCCTCATCCCTTTTCCAGTGTCCGTGCTGTATACGTGACCACCTGTCAGTCACTTAGCAGCTGTCTTGCTTATCAGATCGACTGTCAGGGTATCTCAGTGCTTGTGGTCAGGTAACCCTTATTTGACATAATAATGGCCCCAGAGCAAAAGAGTGCTGATGCTAGCAATTCGGATATGCCAAAGAGAGCGTCCTTTCAAAGAAAACGTGAAAAGGTTCCCAACTTTATTTGTTTGTTTGTTTAAAGTTTATAGTTTATTAATCCTCTCATGACAAATCTGCACAACCATCACAAATAAAGTCACTGAAGAATCTTGACACCTTCTGTAGTTCAATCTCCAGCTCACTTTTTGCCAGCACCAACATCCCCCTGACTGTCTTCATTCTGTTCCTGCGTTCCTTTCTCTGTTTTCTTGAGGTCTTCTTCTTCTCATATAGGCCATGTCTTGCAAGTCTGTGTTTGGGTTCGTCTTTCTTTGCGTAATCCAAGGAATCATAAATCATGCCAAAGCCAGTGCTCTTGCCACCACCCAAGTGGGTTCTGAATCCAAACACAAAGATGACATCAGTAGTGGTCTTATACATTTTGGCTAGTTTTTCCCCGATTTCTGTCTTTGGGTCCTGTTGCCTTCCCAGGGTGAAGGACATCAATGACCATTTGCTTCCGCTGAAGGAGTCTGTTGGTCATGAACTTCCTGGTCTGGATAGTTACTGTGTCATTCATGATGAAGGTTGATCTTCAAGCAGCCAGGGAGGAAAAAAGGGGGTTCCCAACTTTATAAAGTGATTCCATGCAGCTCAAAATATTTCATCTATAAGAATGTCACGTCAATGTGTAATGCAATCAAATACCGCTATTAACTGAGGGTCAGTTACGTGTTAGGTGCTCAGCTATTCTGGGGGCATGGAGCACACAGGGTCCCTGTGTTGTTCAAGGCTGGGGGCTCCCTCCAGCCCGGATCCTCATCTCTGTCTGGGCCTCTGAACTGTCACAGTTGAGTCACCCCAGGATCGAAGGAAAACTTTGAGAGAATAAGGCAGAGTTTGTTGCTTTGGTGCACTTTGCCAAACGTGTGTGTTTAAGAGCGATTTGGATCCAGCCAACCCTTCACCTTCTTGGAATAAATATCTGGGCCACCAGGTCAGTCAGTGACAGACGCCCCTGCTGGTGGGCCAGGCGCATGCCTGCCCGGGCCTGCACCTCTGGACGGGTCGGGGTTGTGAGCACCTTGTTAAACTGCCTTGAAAACGTAACTTCTTGGTCCTCAGAGCAGAAGCTGAGTCGAGCTGGTTGACCTGTGCCTACTTGCATTGGTGTGAGTCATGAGAAGTGAGGAGCCGTGTATCCCGAGGAAGGAGAGGAATCTGAGTCAACGTGAATCCCTCCCAGTGGCCCAGCGTAGTGCCTTAGGCAGGCTGTTGCTCAATGCATAGTTGTTGACCCAATATCCAATTAACCAGAGATCGGAATCTGCAAAGAAAGTGTCTTTTCCACTCGTCAGAGGCCCCCGTGTGTGTGTGTGTGTGTGTGTGTGTGTGTGTGAGAGAGAGAGAGAGAGAGAGAGAGAGAGAGAGAGAGAGACTGACTGCCTGCCTGCCTGATGTTTGGAACCTTTGCCCGTAAGGAACTGTGTCATGGAATGAGGAATGGGTTGTGTTTATACAACACCCCTATTTTCCGGGTCTGACATCCAGGCCTGACGGCAGTAAGCCACCTGAGCACCTGCCTCTTTCTTCTTCTCCAGGCTCTTCGCTGGCCCTGCTGTGGTTTTCGCTGCTCACATCTGGCAAGTGCCGCTGGCCCTGGCGCCAGAGAAGATCCTCTGTGACCAGCTGCAGCCTGGAGCAATCTCGGTAGGAAAGCCACAGGCACGTAGTAACGAAGTGTGCACATCTGGGGACGCGTGTCTGGGGCGACCGCAGAACGAGAGGAAAGGCCCCGCCAGGGGCAAGGGAGTCCAGTTAATGACCAGGACGAAGCAGGAATGAGGACAAAAACAAGAGCTCCTGGGAGAAACAGGAGGGCCTGGGTCCAGTTCCAACTAGGGCGGGGCAGGATTCTGAGCTGCGCGAAGCCCCGAGTGAGAGGCTCTGGTCCACCTGCTGTTGGGAGCACCTGGCCAGTGGTCAGAGAAGCTGAGATCCCCAGAGCTGATGGCAGGAGGAGACAGAGTGACAAATGGGAGGACATGGAAACTCGAGGCAGTGCTGAGGGTGGCTTTCCCCGTGCCTGTCAGAGGCGGGTTCGCAGAGGGACCTGTGGGAAGCGGCTGGGCTGCACCCTGGGATGAGGGAGTGGGGAGTGGGTGGAGCACGGAGCACCTGGGGGCTCTGTGGTGGCTTTCCTGCCCCAGGGCAGGGCAGGGCAGGGCAGACACCGTGAGATATGCAAATTCTGAGGCTCCGGAAGGCGGAGTTGCTGGGCAGCCGGCCTGCTGAGCACTGGGAGGCGCACTCGGTGGGTTTGGACACCCTCGGTCTGAGCCTGAGCGGGGCGCCTGGCGCGCTGTTTCCTTAGCAGACCTCATGTTTACGCTTCGGGGAGAGCAGATCAGACCAT